CTTCAAAAAGATTAAGCTGCACAACTGTTTTCAACATTGATAATAATAATCAATGTTTCTTGATTTCTTCATGATTTCTGAAGGATCATGTGACGCTGAAGACTGGAGTAATTATGCTGAAAATTCACAGAAATAAATTACATTTTAAAATGTATAAAATAGAAAAAAAAAGTTATAATAAATAATATAAATAATATTTCACATACTGTTTTTTCCCCTGCAAAATCTGACCAACTCCAAACAACTTTGGTTGTTTTCAAATGTAAGAAAATTAAGTGTCTGTTTCTTTGTGAATAAAACAACTGACAATGTAAATGGACAGTTAGCAAAACTTCAAATGAATTTCTTTGACTAGATTAAATAAGTAAAAAAAGATTCAGATGGAAGTGCGTATAGGCCTAAAAGGATGATTTATCAAAAAACTGCATTTAACATAGGTGTGTTGTGTTATAAAAAAAAAAGAATAATGAGTTTTGGAGAAATCACAGAGTGACGTTTGATTAATCGTCGTGTGCAGGGGTCAACAAACCCCCACGCAACACCAAAGCCAACGCAAACAAAATGGGCTGTGAACCCATCCCAACATGGCGCTGCGTGGGCGTGCAGGGCATAAGAGGGGCACAAAGAGAGGGGGAAAATAATCTACCATCTGCTATGAAGAATTCACTTTATTTAAAATATATATCATTTAATATTTAACATAATTATCCATTTTCTTGGTTGATGAATGGCTGAAATGGTAATAAGTGTTTTTTTTTATCATTATGATTTTTTATCATTAGTTTTATAACTTATTTGATTAATTTCAGTATCATTTTTGTTCACATATCTGCTATAACTGGTTGTCTTGTGAGTTATATAAGTATTGTGTCTTCCACAGCTGCAATTAACTTTTTCTGGTGAATAGCAGCACTGACACAATGACGAGACATTTTTGTGGCTGTAGGCGTAAGACAAAGGACGCAAACATTTGTGCTGCCCCCAACAATTCTGAGAATGAATAGATGTTTGGCTTTTGTGAGAAAAATGCTATTCATTTGACAAGACACCTGAAATCACAAATAATAGATAATAACAGACTGAGCTGTCCAACAAAATGCGCTTCTCAGATATAGAAGGCAAGAGATTTTGAACAGGTGCTCACTGACAGTGAACATCTGATTCTCTGAATGACGGCAGGCTGCTGTTAAAATCACACAGACTGACTGCTGGAGGATGCAGAAGAGCTGATGTGGTGATGACACTTTCAGATCAGCCACGTTATCAGAGCTCCATCAGAGATGGCAGGAAGGCAAGTGTGTGTTTAATACTGAGGACCTTAATTCTCAGTAATTAGACGTCATTAGAATCAACGGTCCTCACCAACAGTTTGATCGGCTTTAGTAGTAGGACAATGGATACAAATTCTTCAAAATTACGGTTCTTTCAACTCCAAACAAAATAATGAAAATTTTTTTGGCACAAAGAAATTCAACAGGATTTATTTATTTACTCTAAGAAAGTAAGTGAATAAATAAATAATGAACCTTTTGGCACAAAATGTACATGAGATTAATAATTTAATAAATGAATGAATGAATGAACTGAAACTTTTGGCTCAAAACATTTCTGAAACTAACAATTTAAATATATTACATTATTTTCAATTCAATTAAAAATACACACGTACATACATACAATGAAGTAAATAAATTAATACACTTTTTGACACAAAAGTTTCTAAAGTTAAAATAAATAAATGAATAAATAGATAGATAGATGGCACAAAAAGTTAATGAGCTTGCGTAAATAAATAAATAAATACACCTTTGACAAAAGTTTCTGAAGTTAAAAATAAACAAATAAACGATAGATGATAGATCGACAGACAGATATAGATAGATAGATAGATAGACAGACAGATATAGATAGATAGACAGACAGACAGATAGATAGATAGATAGATAGATAGATAGATAGATAGATGGATAGACAGACAGATAGACAGACAGATATACAGTAGATAGAGAGATAGATCGATAGATCGATAGATATATAGACAGACAGACAGATATAGATAGACAGACAGACAGACAGACAGACAGATAGATAGATAGATAGATAGACAGACAGACAGACAGACAGACAGATAGATAGATAGATAGATAGACAGACAGACAGACAGACAGACAGATAGATAGATAGATAGATAGACAGACAGACAGACAGACAGACAGATAGATAGATAGATAGATAGACAGACAGACAGACAGACAGACAGATAGATAGATAGATAGATAGACAGACAGACAGACAGACAGACAGATAGATAGATAGATAGATAGACAGACAGACAGACAGACAGACAGATAGATAGATAGATAGATAGACAGACAGACAGACAGACAGACAGATAGATAGATAGATAGATAGACAGACAGACAGACAGACAGACAGATAGATAGATAGATAGATAGACAGACAGACAGACAGACAGACAGATAGATAGATAGATAGATAGACAGACAGACAGACAGACAGACAGATAGATAGATAGATAGATAGACAGACAGACAGACAGACAGACAGATAGATAGATAGATAGATAGACAGACAGACAGACAGACAGACAGATAGATAGATAGATAGATAGACAGACAGACAGACAGACAGACAGATAGATAGACGGATAGACAGACAGATAGATAGACAGACGGACGGACGGACGAACGGACAGATAGATAGATAGATGCTTCGATTGGTCGATCGATCAATCAATCAGGCTCTATTAAAAAAAACTTTAATGTGTATGCTTACAATTATTTCACTCTATAGTAATAAAGCATAAATTGCTACAAACTGTTCGATTCACTTTTGCGTGATGTTTCCAAATGTTCAGGCAAAACCCTATAAATGAATCATAAACATGTTATGATTTCATGTTTGGAAGCACGATTTTGCCATACAACGGTAGATCAAACATTTATGGTTTAATCTTTTCATATGAATTCTGATTATGATCTATTAAATAAGATCTCAAGAGCTGGGTTTGTAATGTGTGATACTGGCATGCACAGAAGCTCAGTCAGCATGCAGTGCTGGGCATGTGGGCGAGTGTGAGAAGGCAGGCAGGCTGGGGGTGTCTGTACAGAAGTAATAGGAGGGCAGATGCAGAGCTATTCACAGAGGCTCCACTTCTGCTAGGACTCCATGGAGAAGGGGCTGCTCCATAGTGTGTGGGTGGCTATGAATTAGGCCTCAGTCGCACATACAGCAAACGCTCTGTTGCTCATGCTGCCATTGATGAAAATAGAACATGGTGGCAGAAAAACAAAAAGTGACGAGAGAGATGATGAAGAGCCGAGGACGGCCTTACGTGTGCCAGTCATATTAACGGAGAACATACGAGAATAAGACCTTACAATAGAGGGCTACGTTATAAATATTGTATGCTAAGTATATGTTTAGGAGTATTTCAAACCAAATGAAAACGGAATAGGCCTAGTACCTGCAATTAGTTGATATATTTTATTAAACGGCTCCTAAAACTACTTTGAGATGTTTAAAATGCTTCAAAATGCTGTGAAATAGTGGACTATTGTAGTGGTCTCCTCACCGGCCTTCCCAAGAAGACCATTAGACAGCTGCAGCTCATCCAGAACGCTGCTGCCAGGATTCTGACTAGAACCAGAAAATCTGAGCATATTACACCAGTCCTCAGGTCTTAACACTGGCTTCCAGTTATATTTAGGATTGATTTTAAAGTACTCGTTTATAAATAACTCTGAAAACAAATTCCTCGTATGTGTAAATATACCTGGCAATAAAAACTCATTCTGATTCTGAAGAGATCAGATGTGCTAAAACATTAGTCACATTTAAACTCAGCTGTGCATTTACTGAATGAGCACTGTGTGATGCCCGAACTGATTGCACTATATTATATGTAATCATTTTCTATTCTAAACTGTTTTCAATTCATTTTAAACCTCCTAAATCAATTTCTAAATCATTTTCAAAGTTTTAAATTCCTTGTTTTATTGTTGTGATTATTGTTTTTATTTTCTTTTCTTTTATGTAAAGCACTTTGAATTACCATTGTGTATGATAATGCTATGCTATAGAAATAAACTCGCCTTGCCTTGAAAGTCTCAAATATAGTTAAATATTACAATTGTTTGCCAGTCCTACAAGGTGCACTCTAAATCCATAAAAACAGGGCACAGTGTACTGCATTCATTTGAAATAATTTTCTGCATTTGTTTCTTTTGTTTTACAGGAGTTTTGAATGTTTCACTTCACTGCGATGTGTTTTAGAGATAACAGAAATGTCCGTAAAATGAATGTATAATGTCCCGGTAATGAGCTGGCAGTTTTCTGTTATTGTCAGGGAACATAACTAGAGTCAGTTTTCAGTAATCAAGATGTTTAACTGCAATGATCTTGTTACCGAGGGGGGGAAACCCCGTTCTAGTCTATATTAATAAACATGTTTCCTTAACTCTCTAGAAACTAGAATAACTTTCCAACACATTCAAATATCACTTTCCTGAATGTAGTTTGATTACGGTTCCTCTGTGGGACGTCAACTCGGCGCGGCTCGTTATTTTCCGTGTCGAGTTTCCCGGATGTGTCCCATATATGTCAAAAAGGGTTGTGTTTGCGATTACCGGATAATCTCCATTTATGGTATGCGCACTAACCGGAATTCCTGATAATAACATACACCAAAATTTAATAAAAATGAAAAACATCTCATTGTTTCCATAGATCACAAATCTATTTCGATATAATATCAATATATGCACGGCGAATTTAATCACAACACATTAAAGTTAAGCAGAGTCAAAGAGCTGTCTAAAAAAAAAATAATAAAAAAAAAGAAAAGGAAAAAAAAAGCCCAACCCGTTTTTTTTTTTTAGTCCTGTTCTGTCCTTATATGGTCAGTGACGTCACGGGGCATTCACGGGCTCTTCTTAAACGCACGCGACGACAAAGTTTCGCTTATTGCTGCGGCACATATGAAGGGAGCTGATGAAGCGCGCGCTTATGATGACTGCACTGAAGTGAGCATATTTACAGCACGTCAACTAGATCCTAAAAGCTCTGAGAACAACTGAATAAAATTCAACTTCTTAAAAAAAATAAAAATATTTAAAAAAAAAAAACCCCATCGAGGATCAAAATGACAGCGACAGCCAGGGATCAAATGAACGCGTCGCTAAATGATTTGTCGCGCTGTCTGCCACAGGGCTACTCTCTGGAGGAGACCCCCTCATCGGGCTCCTCTCATGGGGGTGTGGGGGTCTGTTCTGACCGGTTCAGTGAGGCGTCGGGAGGTAAGAAAATATGAGGATGCTTACAATAATAAAAGTAATATTCAGAAGAGCTGTAGAAAACGTTTTGAGTAAATATAAAAAGCCTGTGTGTCCTGTACTGTGTGTTTGTTTGCTTGCTTATAACTTGGTTTTAAACAACTAGTTTAAAGCTGTGGTGAATTTGAATAATTAGCTCCAATCATCCTGTTGATCATAATGCAACAGAGCATACACTCTTGTTATCTCGTTGCCTAGTGCTTTTACCTTTGAACAATTTATTCATTAGAATTTCTGATGTCCAAATCAATAGTTTGATTTTATTATTATTATTATTATTTTTATTTTTTTTTGCACGTTACTCTTTACTTCATCGTTGTTTTTATTAACTACATGTGTGTTATTGTGTGTATATTGCGGTGGAAAGCCTATAGTCTTATGTCGGGGCATGTTGTCACTAAACTGTGTTTTTCAACTGTGGAAATATTCAATACTTTTTGTAGCCAACGCGTGTCCATACAACAGGCTGACTTTCTGAATAATTTCAAAACAAACTCTCATGGAGTCCAAATGTCATGACACATTTTAAATAGGTTATTTATATCACCTCTACAGTTCATTCAGAGGAAGGACTAATTGATCCAACCAGAATACCGAGAGATGCCCGCATATATTCCGCCACCTACATAGGCCTACTAGCTTTTGAAAACAAATAGCTTTACTACACTCTAAAAAATGCTGGGTTAAATACAACCCAGTGCTGGGTAAAATGGGGACAAACCCAGCAATTGGGTTGTTTTGACCCAGCGGTTGGATTCAATGTTTAACCCAACCTTCTGGATAGTAATCCAACCGCTGGGTCAAAACAACCCAACTGCTGGGTTTGTCCCTATTTTACCCAGCACTGGCTTGTATTCAACCCAGCATTTTTTAGAGTGTGCATTATACCACGTGTTGCTGGAAATACACGCTTCACCTAATGCAATAAGAACGAATTGCTCAACAGAAATGTCTTGGTTTTACTCCACAGGTGGCTTGAGCACTGACAGCTTCGGCGTGGGAAAACGGGGCCTTGAACTGACAGACCCGAGCAAGTTCTCGCCACACAGTGCGCCTGTCGCCTACACAGGAACATTTTCCATCGACGCGCAAGGAAGTTGGAATCAGGAGGGAATAATCAACTTTGTCAGTGCAGGAGTGCAAGATAGGCCACCTTCCCCAGGATCATTCTCCACGGGCTCTCCCTCAGACCTCACTCCAGGCTGCTCCAAAATAGGCCAGACTCTTGCCAACATGGATCATATGTACACAGGCCCACCCCCATACACCTGTAGCGCCGATGGTTACCAGGACCCCTCGGCTTACCTATCGACCACCACGTGCCCCATAACATACGCCACTCCGTCCTACTCAAGCCCAAAGTCAGCTATAGACGGGACGCTTTTCTCCATCATCCCCGACTACGGGGGGTTCTATCAGACCAGCAACAGCCAAAGGGACAACATGGCTGTGTTTCAGGACATCAAGCCATTCTCATGCTCTCTGGAGTCTATCAGAGTCCCGCCACCTCTGACTCCCTTGAACACCATAAGACATTTTACTCTGGCTTGTCCGGTAGATGGGCCGAGGCCGCCTGTAGACTGCGCCAAGCCGCAGAATGTCCCATTCAGGCCAATCCTGCGGCCACGGAAGTACCCGAACCGACCGTGCAAGACGCCGGTCCACGAGCGGCCGTACCCCTGTCCGGCTGAGGGATGCGACCGGAGGTTTTCGCGCTCGGATGAGCTGACGCGCCACGTGCGCATCCACACCGGCCACAAGCCGTTTCAGTGCCGCATCTGTATGCGCAGCTTCAGCCGGAGCGACCACCTCACGACGCACACACGCACACACACGGGCGAGAAGCCCTTCTCCTGTGACTTCTGCGGCAGAAAGTTCGCCAGGAGCGACGAGCGAAGGAGGCACACAAAAGTCCACCAGAGACAGAAAGATAAAAAGGCGTCTGCGCCTCCTCACAGCTCGAGCGCCGGCGGTTCAGCGATGTGAACCAACAGTTGAACAAGTTCAGTCGGTGCCTCACTTAACTCTGGAAGTTTGTGTGCGCACAAATGTACGATGGCAGCTTATGATTTAAGTGTTGAATGTGTTTTGCTGTAGTAACTAGACAACGTCCTTATTATCACAGAATGTTTCACGTGCATTGTGCAAACTGCAGTTGTTCTAGTGTTTACAGCGAGTCTTTTTATTGCCATTATTAGTCATGTGTTTGAATAAAATGATAATGACCACAAGGTATATTTTTTGAGAATCATTGGAAGGGAAATTAAATGCTGTATGGGATTACAAAGATATAACACTAGAGGTCCCACTTTGACAAACTATTGATTGCGGCTAAATCGCCGGCGGTTCAGCGATGTGAACCAACAGTTGAACAAGTTCAGTCGGTGCCTCACTTAACTCTGGAAGTTTGTGTGCGCACAAATGTACGATGGCAGCTTATGATTTAAGTGTTGAATGTGTTTTGCTGTAGTAACTAGACAACGTCCTTATTATCACAGAATGTTTCACGTGCATTGTGCAAACTGCAGTTGTTCTAGTGTTTACAGCGAGTCTTTTTATTGCCATTATTAGTCATGTGTTTGAATAAAATGAAAATGACCACAAGGTATATTTTTTGAGAATCATTGGAAGGGAAATTAAATGCTGTATGGGATTACAAAGATATAACACTAGAGGTCCCACTTTGACAAACTATTGATTGCGGCTAAATAATACTTTAAAGAGGTCATATGATGTTGCTAAAAAGAACATTATTTTGTGTATTTGGTGTAATGAAATGTGTTTATGCGGTTTCAAGTTAAAAAAACACATTATTTTCCACATACTGTACATTATTGTTTCTCCTCTATGCCCCGCCTTTCTGAAGCTCATCGGTCTGAAAAAGCGAGGTGTGCTCTGATTGGCCAGCTATCAAGTGCTACAGTGAGACCATCGGTCTGAAAAAGCGAGGTGTGCTCTGATTGGCCAGCTAACAAGTGCTACAGTGAGACTAAAAGTTACGCCTTCTTTGCGTGAACATTTGGGCGGCGTTATGCAAATCTTCCCACATAGTGAGGTAGATATGTGGAGGTGTGTTAGAACGAGGCGTTTTAGGTAGGCGTGGCTGACTCTTAACTTTTAAAAAGAATATCTCTTTGGATTTGAGACTTTAGTGTTTGCAACTTTACAGATCTTCTTTATGCACCAAGAGCTTGTAACACTCCAAAGAGTCATCATATGACCCCTTTAAGAAAAGGTTGCAAGTAAAACATACACTGGTGTGCAAAAGAGTAATACGATTCTTTTTGAAAGAAATGGATACTTTTATTAAGCAGGGACGCATTAAATTGACAGTGAAGACATTATTACAAAATATTTCGATTTCAAATAAATGCTGTTCTTTTGAACTTATATTCATCAAAAAATTCAAAACTATTAAACAGTACAACTGTTTTCAACATTGATAATTATAAGAAATGTTTCTTGAACGCCAAATTAGCATATTAGAATAATCTCTGAAGGATCATGTGACACCGAAGACTAAGTCAAATTCAGCTTTGCCATCACTAGAATAAATTACATTTTAATATACGGAAAAACAGAAAACTATTATTTAAAATTGTTATATTTCACAATATTGCTGTATTTTATGAAAAAATCAGCCTTGCTGAGCATAAACGACCTTTGAACTGTTGTGTATGTTGGCTGTAACACTTCTAACTCTAAAAAGTATTTAAAAAATCAACAAGACCAGTTTCTATTGCATCTTTTATTAGCAGAAATCAGAGGAAAAACACAACTTTAATTTCGTAAGTAAAATATACATCATATTCTTCATATTTCGATTGTCTTTTTAATTTTTCTGTGCTTATTTTTTATTACATGTCATCCTTACTAAGTGCTTCATTGTAATAATCAATAGAAGTGTTAAAAAAAAGCATCAGTGTTATGTAGGCCAATTTGTCACGATTGTTGCTGAACATTTCAGTGTTGATACCTTAATGCATTATTAACGCAATATAGCAATGGAAACGAGATGAGCAAGATTCCTGCTCTGATATAATGTGTGTAGGAAGCCATTGTCAAACCAAATCTCACACCTGCTGCAAATACTTAAATATTGATCACATGCTAAACAAAGTCAACCCAGGCAAAAGAGAAAGAACAGAGACTAGTTCCTTTGTCTGGACACGGTCTTCATGCAACACATTGGAAATTTATGGATACATGTATAAAATAACAGCCAAATAACTGTGATAAGTGCCTAGGTATTTCAAATAACGTGCCATTTTCCCAGGACGCATCCTGGCCAGGAATTCTATATTGCCTAAAATCTCTAGGTTTTGGCTTTGTTTGCGTGTGCAGACCGATCGGTGTATGACATCTAAATACCTCGAGAGCATTTTGAAAGCATAAGGAACCGTCTGTATGGTATTTTGATGTCATACAAAAACCCAAAGCCTAGATATTTGAGGCAATATAGAAATCCTGGCCAGGACGCGTCCTGGAAAAATGGCAGGTACGGTCACCCTAAAATAAACCACTGTACTCTTGATAAGCTAGCCAGTCTGACATGTAAGGAAAAGAACATGGGATCTCTTGATTCGCGTAAGGCTGTGATTAACAGAACCCAGTTTATAGTCAGATCCTTCAGAGGGACACTTGAGGCCCTGGGTAAGGTTCACCACCACACCAGAATTCACTAGGCTGTGGGATTTCCATAAGCCACAGGTCACCCTGTTCCTGGGCTTCACTCTTTCTATCTACAGCCTCTGAACGGGCATGCAAAACTTTATAATAATGGCAGTCTCTCCCTTCATCCGGATCATATGGCGGTGATAAGATGTCAAGGAAAGCGGTGGCTCCGTCAACAGCGTCTATCTGGTGGATATTGTCCTTTTGGGGTGACAGCACACATGGGCCGTTCTCCTCCGTGTATTCCCCCACCGACCTCAGCACCGAGGGCCGAAGCGAGCTGCTCTGGAAGGGCATGAGCGGAGGGGTGAACTGCACGCCGCTGGCACCATCTCGAGGTTTATCCAACCTGTCGAAACAGCTGATTCGCACCTTGCCGTAAATCACTTTCAGCATGCCGTGCATTCCCGGATGATCATGCAGCGGTATCGAAGCGCCCGTTTTTAATAAAAACACCCCCATGCTGAACGTGTCGGTCTCGTGGATGTGCATGTATGTAACGGGAGGCGCGGCGCGCTGAGACGGCACCGGGGCGCTCTCGGTGGTCCGGGGTGCGATCTTCAAGTCCGCCGCTCTGACCTCCGCCATAAGGCTTTTCAGCTTACTCAGATTTTCCAAAAACACTTTATTGTGATCTCCGACAACCGAGGGGTTTCGGAACGTCGCGAGGGCCTGTCTGGCGATATTCTGGACAGTGGAAGTCATGTTGTCTCGTGGCATCATCACGCAAGTGTCCAGGCAGCGTCAACTTGACATTCAACTTTGCGCACCTTGCTCCTTCTGCGATATCGAGTGCAAGTCCTGTTTCAGAGATGACTTCTTATTTATGCACCATGTGTAAAAGCTTAAGCGCAGCCTTAGGAATACCGTTAGGATCAAGTCACTCCTGTCCATGACTACTCCATATACAGGCATCCGATTCACACGTACGCAATGTCAACGCTGCTAGACGTCATGCAGAGAATTATGGGAAATGTAGTTTTTCCCCCTACTATTGTGACACTTAAACGCTACTACTAAACGAATGGTTCTAGAACTTGTCCTTTAATGTTTGTAAACTTTAGCCAAACTCGTCTGTCACGCATTTAAAAGATCTTCGCGAAGTTCCTATACGGACGTTGCACCAGATATTATACGTAAACCGGTTACTACAATCCCCATAACCTTTGCTTTTCAAGGGGCAACGACACCTCAGTCTTTCACCGCCACGCAGACAATGCTCGCGCTCTGAAAATGCTTGGATTAATGTGAGGAGAGAAAAAAAGAGGTCATGGTCAAGAGGACATATCAAATTATAAATATCATTGCATTAAACACAAAATATCAGACCAAGCTTATTTTTTAAGAAAGAGAGCCCAAGCACAGATTTCAGGGGGAAAAATTTATAAAAAGTTTGTTAGGTTGTAAATGCCAACCCTATAGAAATGCCAAAAGGAATGGAAGAGATATAGTTCAAACTCAAAACAAAAAGTATTTAGACACTTGTGGTCATCAAGCATGAATAGTTCACGGGATGAGCCGCGCTGACATCTGTGTGAGCTTGAGGGGAATGGACTCATGACCTTAGCAAGATATGAGGTCATTTTTCATGTTCAAAAGTAAAATTTCTGTTTTCATGACTAATCTGCTGTTACAGTTTAAAACTCCTCATGCACAATTAGGTTTAGACAGCAATGGTTATTAATGAAAACTATAGTAATATGTATTTCTGCATGAATAATAAACAACTGATAAAAGTATCCACCCCTAACCTATAGTAAAGTATTAATACATTTTGATGCAATAAATATGGTATAATTTAACAATGTTGTTCATCCCTTCAAAACAGAGAAAACATCTTTCGCAAACATCTACAAGTCGGTCTCATTTAAAGTGTTCAGTGTATATATAATGAGTTGTATTTGTAGGGGTTATTATAGCACAGTTCTTAACCCCACCCCAGATCTCATTCATTTTCAAACCCTGGTTACAGCCATGAATGGACTTAATATTAACCAGCTTGTCATATTCACAGTTTTACCGTCTTCCATGACAAATTCACAGAATCGCAAAAGATTGTTGTTCTGAGACTTTGGCAACAAGGTGAGAGTGTGAGAGTGAGAGAGAGTGAGAGTGAGAGAGAGTGAGAGAGAGAGTGATATCCCTCTACTACTAATGGAAATGTGACCGCAGAAGGCGAGCTGTTTTTGTTTTTTTTGCCAATCCATATTTAATCATTTGTTATATAATTCAGTGTTACATTAATCAGATTCAAAATTATGAGCAAGATATGATCGACTACTGTAGAAAATGATGAACCTGTAATCTCATTATCAGTGCAGAAGCAGACTGTTGACATGCTGGCTGTTGCCCAACCAATTATGACTCACAAACATGTGTGCATTACATTGTTTAAAAATATATATTTATAGATAAAGAGACATGTGGACAGTTTAGTCATCTAGTTTCTCCTGCATACTTTGTCTAATCATTTGTTGGCATACACAAAAATAAACCGAGCATCTATAAAAAAGCTAAAGCTATGTAACAGGATGCAACACTCCCGCCTACTCCAGTCCTCTGAGCTCAGAAAACCACATACACACTGTGTGTGTGAATCACAATATGAAACCTTTCTAATGACATCATAAGGATGTTCTACCATGTCATCCGAATTCACACCAGACATTAATAAATGCATAAGCTCTCCGGTCCTCATTACGCTATGACACGTATGACCGAACAACACTTTTAGTTACGGAAACAAGTGTGCTTTCTAATAATATTGGTCTGCTTATTCACTCTGCCTGTCTCCTCCAAATAAAGTGGCTTGTAAACGTTCTTCACAGCCAGCTCAAACAAACAGAGACCTCACTGTCAGAAGTTTATTGGCTTTGCAGTGAACTTCTGAAATGTTTGCAGAAATGGCCGCAGCAAAAACAGCACAAGAGCTGTGATTCCCCACGAGGAGTACATGACCCTAGTAAGCTGCAGAATTTAGAAATATTTTACATTTTCCTTGTCAAAACTTATGAAACTATAAAAAAATTAAGATAGCATTACTTATTAGATAATATAGGGTGACCATACGAGCCAGGATTTGTTTTGGCTTTCATGCTCGCTGAAGGTAATGATCAAAAAGTAGTTTGACCAATAACATGCAGGCATTGTACATAATGGACCAATCATGGTGTGTGTGAGAAGGTGGGATCTACGGTCAAAGCGATGCAATTACACGTACATAGGATGTGTGTTCGACTTAAAAGCAGCGCGGCTCAGATCGATCAGTGTTTGACATCAAAGTACCTCGAGAGCATTTTGAATGCATAAGGAACCGTCTGTATGGTATTTTGAGGTCTGCATACGCGAACAAAGCCAAAACCTAGATATTTTAGGCAATATAGAAATACTGGCCAGGACACGTCCTGGGAAAATGGCACGTATGGTCACCCTAGATCAGGGATCCTCAAATCTGGCCCACGAGATCCACTTTCCTGCAGACTTTAGCTCTAACCCCAATCAAACACACCTGAGCATGCTAATCAGTGTCTTCAGGATCATTAGAAAATCACAGGTAGCTGAGTTTGATCAGGGTTGGAGCTAAACTCTGCAGCGCATTGGCCCTCCAGGGTAAGATTTGAGGAACCCTGCCCTAGATAATATAACTTTTTTTTTCCAGAAAGGATGCATTAGAGCCATTAGTGGCAGTAATTCCCAAATTTTCCCAAACCAAACTGCCTTCAACAGAACGAATAAAAAATAGGGAAAGGAATATTCAAGGACGCTCCTTGTTGAGAAAGATAATGTAGCTCTTGAGCGATTAAGCTATTTAGTTGATAAAACTGCGGGGCAGCGCTAAAGTTTGTTCCTGAATGTCTGAGTGCGGCCGCAACGTGATCTGTGTGTGTGTGACTGAACTTAACATCAAACTGCTTGTTTCACACAAATGCTGGCACAGTCAGCTAGAGTCGCTTTGAACTCGTGCATCTTCGGAAGCGGAGCTGCACAGAAAGTCCTGCCGCGCGCACCCAAACGAACTTGCGGACGCCTCGAGTAAATCAGCCTTGAGCGTGTGTGCGTTAGATACAGTGAAGACAGCGCGTTAGTTTAGAACTCTTCTAATTTTTTTTAATCGTAGAGAGTGTGTTCATTTGTGCAATGATAACCTACCAGCAATGTAAGTTGTGTTTTTTTATATATTAGTATGAGTACACTACAATATAAATTTATTAGAAGGTGTACATTATTATTTATGGGCTTAAAAACAAGATGCAAACAATCAGAATATTGCACCTGGTGGGGAGTGCACAATGTAAACATGAAACATATGCCATTACCTATATTGTACTGTGGTACCGTTATGGAGGCCCTTCATAATGCAGAGGTCAGCTGCCTGCTCTGCCAATAGTTAGAAATGGCACTATAGTAAGCAGTGTTTAATAAACAGCTGTTTTTCTAAATTCTGCTGAGGTGAAATTCAGTGCAGTCCTGTATCGTGATACGTATCGTGGCCTCTGTATCGTGACTTTGCTGGTGATACACAGCCCTAATATATATATATAAGTATATATGAAGCAATAATCATGCATTTATTTCCAAACATATCTGTAGTTCATGGTATTGGGAAAAGCGTGGTTCACCTCTTTTTTTCTTCTTCAGTAAATCGGTCTCCTGCAGGACAACAATATCCTTGGCAACGGGTCCCATATCCTCTGTTCTCACTTCAACCTCCACCTCAGAAAAAAGCTCCTCTGCAGAGATTGAGATCTATTGTTATTTTTACTCTTCACACAAATGTGATATACTGAGTAAGTAGTAGTAATTTGTTAGGTTAGGTTAGCCTGTATTATAGGGTGACCATACATGCCATTTTCCCAGGACGCGTCCTTGCCAGGATTTGTTTTGGCTTGGCTTTGTTTTCCTGTTTCCATGCTTGCTGAAGGTAATGATCGAAAAGTAGTTTGACCAATAACATGCAGGCATTGTACATAATGGACCAATCATGGTGTGTGTGAGAAGGTGGGATCTACGGTCAAAGCGATGCAATTACACGTACATAGGATGTGTGTTCGACTTAAAAGCAGCGCGGCTCAGATCGATCAGTGTTTGACATCAAAGTACCTCGAGAGCATTTTGAATGCATAAGGAACCGTCTGTATGGTATTTTGAGGTCTGCATACGCGAACAAAGCCAAAACCTAGATATTTTAGGCAATATAGAAATACTGGCCAGGACACGTCCTGGGAAAATGGCACGTATGGTCACCCTAGATCAGGGATCCTCAAATCTGGCCCACGAGATCCACTTTCCTGCAGACTTTAGCTCTAACCCCAATCAAACACACCTGAGCATGCTAATCAGTGTCTTCAGGATCATTAGAAAATCACAGGTAGCTGAGTTTGATCAGGGTTGGAGCTAAACTCTGCAGCGCATTGGCCCTCCAGGGCAAGATTTGAGGAACCCTGCCCTAGATAATATAACTTTTTTTTTCCAGAAAGGATGCATTAGAGCCATTAGTGGCAGTAATTCCCAAATTTTCCCAAACCAAACTGCCTTCAACAGAACGAATAAAAAATAGGGAAAGGAATATTCAAGGACATTATCAGGACAGAGGATAACAGAGATCGACAGTCTTGAAGCTACTGAATACAGGTCGTTAAGATTTGAGGAACCCTGCCCTAGATAATATAACTTTTTTTTTCCAGAAAGGATGCATTAGAGCCATTAGTGGCAGTAATTCCCAAATTTTCCCAAACCAAACTGCCTTCAACAGAACGAATAAAAAATAGGGAAAGGAATATTCAAGGACATTATCAGGACAGAGGATAACAGAGATCGACAGTCTTGAAGCTACTGAATACAGGTCGTATTAAACAACAAGAACACATCCTGCATGTTTGACTAGGCCGAAATGGACATGAATGGCCTCCGTTTACACAAAAACCTTCTGAAAAATGTAAATTGGAGAGGTCATGACCT